GGATTTAAGGGTGAGTAGTTGTTGCTGACAAGCTAATGATAAAAGTATCATTATAGCATACTAAAGGATAGAAAATTTAGGGCAAGAATTTAGCTGAATGGGATTTGCATGTATCCATCGTGTAGTGGCTTATTCATCAGGATCTGAAGAAAACTTGCATCTACAATAAAACATAGTGGTGATAGGGGATCCCCTTGTCTAACACCTATTCTACATTTGAAACATGTGCTAGGGACGCCATTGAGCAACACAGAAGAGATGGCAAATGAAAGAATGTGGGTGATTCAACAATACCACTTATCTTCAAACCATTTGAATTTTAATTCTCAAGAATGAGGTGCCCTAATGCATCAAAAGCCTTTTCAAAGTCAAGTTCAAGAACAACAATATCTTTCCTTGATTTCTAACACACGTGCAAGAATTCATAAGTCCATGCAAGATACTCTTGAATAGTCCTAGTTTTAATAAATCCATATTGGTTGGTGTGAACCAGGTCCTTAACGATAGATTGCAACCTATTGGCAAACAACTTAGTGACAAGCTTTTAAAGTCCAATTAAGCAAGGATATAGGTCTATAATCATTAATTTTAGTGGCAACATATTTGGGGGGGGCGATGTAATGAAACAACTGTTTATGCTTTGGAGGCATAATGATCCACTTTGAAATTTGGAACACAAGTCATAAAAATGTTTTTAGGGTATGCCAACATTTCTTGAAGAATTTAATATTGGAACCATCTGGCCCTGGTAAATTTTTTACTTGGCAACTCAGGAACAACAACGTCTATTTCCTACTCCATGAAAGGGCTCTCCAGAATATCCAGACCAGACAACCTTTGAATAATTATAGACATGTCAAAATCATTAGAAGTGAAATTATATTGTCCCAACCTTTGCTTATAACCATCAAGAAAAAGCATGGCCTTGTCCTCATGTTTGGAGTGAATAGCAACATTCATGGGTGAAGGTGGCACTGGAGTTTCTTCAAATTCGAACAGTAGCACTAGAATGGAGAAATCTTGTATTTTCATCAGCTAGGGTGACCCACTTAATATTTTCCCTCTCCAGTGCATTTTTTGTTTTTTTAAGCAGAGCTGCAAGATGACCTTTGAAGTCCTTTCTAAAAGTGGTCTCCAAGTTGGTCAGATCCCTAGTGTTTCTAAAGGTACCAAGGAGAGAAATGATGGAGTTTATGTCCTGAATTTGTATCGTTCATACCAGACAGCTTCATAGAACAAGATTTAGTCGTTTTCCTAAGAATTTTAAAACTGGCAGTGATTATGTTGGTTTCGTCAGCATACTAAATTGAATCTTCCATGTGTGATACACAAATGGCAAGTCATCATGTTCCATCCAAGCATTTTGAAACCTAAAGATATTAGACTTAGGCATGGTAGTTTTAACTGAGATGAGACATGACACATGGTCAGAGGTGGTCATGGCCATGGGTAGTCCAAAGCATTGGGATAATTAATTAATTTTCTAATAAGGGGAATAAAAAATCAATCAAGCTTTTGGAGTTCACGGGGAGGTATGCATATTGCTCCAAATGTACTTTCTGCCTCTAAGAGGTACATCAATGAGCACAAAATGAGAAATTGCTAAATTAGAATGAATTATCTCATTAATACTACCTCCATGTTTATTCCTATCATCTGACCTCCTTATGAGGTTGAAATCACCAATCATGATCCAGTCAACATCATATGAAAGTTTAGCATCACAAAGACACCGAAGTAATTCCAATTTATTACCATCTTAACATGGAGCATAGTTATTTGTTGAAGTCTAAACATTATAACATCCATTAGATTGCATTAGGATAGATAGAACATACTCATTCTAGAACTCTAGTATGACCAGAGAAAACAACACCATCCCAAATAGTGAGGATACCCCCTCATGTAGCAATAGGAGGTATATATTGAAAAGGTAACAAATCTTCTAGGGCAAAATTGTGTAATATAATCTAAATCAATGTGCTCTCTTTTAGTTCCTAAAAACATCTAAGACAAAAAGAACCTTCCTCATTTTTATTATGTATTAGTAATCATTTATCATGGGAGTTCAACCCCTCTTATGTTCCAATTTAAACTTTTCAGGGCCTGTTTATTCATTGGCAGGGTGAAGAAAATACATCCTTATTAAGCAACGAAAACTAGATTGTTACAAGAGGGACCGAATGGTAGGAGTACTTTTACTTATATTATTTCATGGTCGCTATGATTTTTGCATGTTGTAGTTCTGAAAAAAATCATAATTTCTTGACACTTAAATATTTTAGGGGAAGTACCCTAAGGAGATCAAATGCACCTCACACTAGATGAGGCTTTTCCTTGCCGCCAAAGGTTGTTTCATCACCAAAAGTTTTGAAACACCTTTTTGTGAAAAAGGACAAGGATCTGTTATAAAGGTTCCTTATAAGTAACAACACCCTCAAACATGATAAAAATTACATCAAGGATTCTGCACCTTCGAACGACCACTGCCACCGATAGGATGCGCCACGGGCACGCCGTTGTCGGCACTCCCCTATCGGAGACAGCTTCAATTTGTCGATGATGGCCATGAATTCTTTGTGCATGTGCCCCTATGGACCAATGTTTAGAGTCGTAAACGTGTCATTGAACCCTTGAATCGATCTAAAGCACATGAGACCAAATCTTGCCATTACGCACGCATGGTGAGAAACCCTAACCTCGCCTCCTAAGTAGACGGTAGGAATCTATGTCGGAGATCTACAAAACTCAAGGAGGATCGACGCCTGAAAGACCAACTCGAAGTTGAAGTGCCTCCATAGTAAGCCCCTGCGAGGAAAACACCCAACCTAAACTGTCGACCGACGCTTAGGCACCGAAAAATCCCCTTTCTCGACACTGGCCACCTGAGTGCAGACAGAGAGGAGGTGGATACATGGGCTCACCGATGAATCTTTAAAGGGATGAGTACCCTACCAACTGTAGACGCAAGAGGGAAAGATAAACCCTAACCAAGGGATGCATTTTTCGGTTTTATTGTTTTGAACATGTTCTTAGTGATGCAGTTATCTATAAAGCCTGTAAGAGAGTAGGCATTAAAATCATTTAAACCCTTTTGGGCATAAATTTAAGTTTCACACCGGGCCTCAGTTTCTCAGAGCATCTACACCTGGACCTACCTAATCCGGTCCCCTAAGAACCGCGGTCGCGCCCGCACGCGTATGCGGAGTGACCGGTCACCCCTCATTTGTTCACGTCCACAGCCGGGTGCCTCGTTAGCAAATCTTCAAATCCATAGAATCACATGCAATGTAAACTTAACTCGCGTAATATCTCCCGATCTCACACATAGCGTCCGACTATTTCATCATGCATGTCATCGCACTGCCAAAAATTGGCATGCTCTACTACATCATACATGCCATCGGACTACCGAAATTTGACATGTTCTACATACTAAAGCTATGGAGAAAGTTATTCAACAGTTGCCCTTGCCCTTGTCGTTGCTCTTGTCGTCTTTGTTCCAGAAGTAGTGGTCAAAGACTCAAAATGGATCGAGTTGGATCTGCTCAAAGCTGGAGTTGTCCAACCCGTCACTTCTTCCTCCTTCTCCTCTTTGGACGATGGTCCGACTATGGCAGGGACCGCCCAATTTTGTCCTTGGTGAGGGCGCACGTCGTCCTCCTTTGCCACTTCTTGAGGATGCGGGCACGGAGGGCTTCCTCATCCAAGGCCGTGTGTGACTCCACCTCCGCTGCCTTGGCCTCCAGGACTACCACGGCTTCCTGGCCCCTAGGCCTTGCACGGTAGGCGTGTCATGCGTCCGCAGCGGGCGACCCCTTACGCGTGCTGGGTTGACCTCTGACTCGGATCCGGACGCGGCGGGGAAGAGGGGCTATCGAAGGGGTTGCACCGTCACCCCAGAGTTCGGGCGCCAGACGGTGGTCACCGCATCTGGTGAGGCCATGGTCACGTGCTTGGAGCCACTAGCCTCGGCTAATCCAAGCGTCATTTCTGTCGACGCAATGGATTCCGTCAGGTCGACTCCGACCGCGGTTAGGCGCACTCCTCCCGGGAGCGGTGGAGAGCCATGCAGACGACCATCTCCTCCTCTTCCATGCATGTGACGAGGTCCCAGTCGGCAGATCAGGAGATCTCTGAGTCAAATCCGTTACCCGCCATGTCAGAGAAGGCCGGAGATTGCCGGAACGGAGCTTGGGGGTGGAGTGGCTAGGGTTTCGTCCGGGATGTGAATAGGGATGAATATATGTGAGGTCGTAATGGGCTAGCGTGTGCTAGATCAGACATGGCGGACGCGCCCGGGCTTGTCCGGGACTCCCCATATCCGTCCAAGATATGTGCTGGATACAAGGGGTGTCGTTTAGTCCGGACGTACGGGGTCGGTATAAGGGGTGCGGCTGGGTCGCGATTTTGTGACATGCCATGGACCGAACCGTCTGCCCAGACGAACAGGGGATGTTTGAGTAGTCCGGCTGTAGACACTCTCGGATAAGATCCCAATGATACCTCCAACAATTGTGTGTCCTAGGAAACATGTCAAAACTGGTTGGGTTTGGAGAAGGAGAACACAAACCGCACGGGTGCTACAGTGCCACTCATCATCAGAGTCAGGAACGAATTCGGCTGAAAAGAAGAGTCAGGAACGAATTAATTAGGCGGCGCTTTAAGTGCGCATCAAATTATTTTTCACAAGGTACATATGCCCAGCGGATTGGAGTTAGACCCGTATCCGTCCCCAACCTCCCCCATTGAAACCTCTTCTTCTTCTCTTTCCGTAATAAACGAAAAAGCTCAATCGCAACAGTATTCTACTCCGACTCCGCACCTGTCACTCACGCTGCCTCCGTGACCTCGCTCCCTCTGCCCCTATATACTCCCGTCGCCGATTACTCGACATCATTGTTGTTTCTTCCTCCTTCCGCCGATCGATCGTCCCTCTATATCATATCGTCCAAGTCAGGTCTCCGCGCCGCCGCGCTGGGTGGGGACGTATCGAAACGATGGAGGACTTCGTGCTGAGCTACGTGGTGACCGGGCTGGCCTTCTGGTCGACGGCGTTCTTGGTGATGCGGGCGCTGATGCCGAAGCGGTCCTACGAGTTCTGCAACCGCGCCGTCTCCACCATGCACGCCGTCGCCGCCGTCTGCATGGCCTGCCTCTCCGTCCAGGAGTGGTCCTGCCCCGTCTGCCCCCTCAACGCCCCCTCCTCGCCGCGCCAGGTACGCACCGCCACCGCACACCGCTGCGCTCACTGATCCGTGATACACGCGCGCGCATGCACTGACTCCGTCCTCCTTCGTCCTTCCTGTACGCACGTTCGTGTGTCCATCGAATCGACAGATGAAGTCTCTGGCAGTGACGCTCTCGTACATGATCTACGACGCGGCGTGCTGCCACCTCAACGGCGACGTGCGGCTCGACAACACCGTGCACCACCTGGTGAGCATCGTCGGCATCGGCGCCGGCCTCGCCTACCAGAGGTGCGGCACGGAGATGATGGCGTGCATGTTCATCACGGAGATCTCCAGCCCGCTGCTGCACCTCAGGGAGATGCTCAAGGAGCTCGGCGTCAAGGACACGGACCTCAACCTCCTCGTCGATGTACACAGACCTCAACCTCTTCTTCCTCTCTCTCTCTCTCTCTCTCTCTCTCTCTCTCTCGTCTGCTGTGAACAGTACTATAATTAACTATATGTCTCTCTTCTCCCCCGCGTACGTGCAGATTCTGTTTGCGGCGACCTTTTCGGTCGGACGGATGGTTGGTGGACCGTACCTCACCTACGTCACCTTGACAACAGACTACCCCATCCTCATCAAGGTATATTTTGTAACCATACGCCCAAAGAACCAAACAAATCCTCCGCCGCTCCGCTCCCTATCGATCTCCAACCCAAATCTCAACTTAACCTCTTCCTTTTTTCTTCCAAAAAAGGAAAACAGTACCTATTTCAAACGCCAGCTATTTCCAACTTTTTTTCTGTATGCATATGCGTGCTTACTAATTTCCTTTTCTGTGATATTATTTTCCGATTCGCTAGGCGATGGCTGCGGGTTTGCAACTGGTGAGCGCCTACTGGTTCTTGAGGATCCTCAGGATGGTCAGGTACAAGCTCGGGAAGAAGAGGCCGGCGGCGGCGGCCAAGGTCACTGCCAAGTGACCGATCCATGTACATACATATCTTGCTTGCAACCTTGAGCAAATTACTTGCTTTCTGGCGGGAGAGATCGATCGATCGTCCGTATGTACAAACCCGCCGTGTTTGCGCGATTCTGGCTAAGTAAAAAGGATTATTCATGTAGCATATTAATTGTTCCACAGGCAAGCATCTTCCCAACAAAGGATGCATATATACATACTGTACGTAGCAATTCAATTTGACTCTTGTGCAGAAACACTTTCCGATCACTACCGCTTGTCTCCTGGCTGTTGTAGAGGATTTTAAGCTTCTGTTCTTGCTGCTTATACAGTTGTTAGATTGGATCATTCCTGTTATAATGCCGTTTTGGTGTATAATTTGAATGTGTAGATTGTACCTGCATTTTTTATACATGCATGACGTGCCCTCTGTTGATGCGCGTGCTACTGGTGTTTTGCGTTGTCCCATTACAGTCCTTTTGAACTCCTAGTTTTGTTGTCAGTGATCTGCTAGCAATAGGCGCCAGAACGAACTCCCTTCTATATTTTGGTTTGTATGCACTGGGAGTCTGGGATGGGATGCTTTGTTATGTCGTTCGGTTATTAGAAATTCCGATAGCGAAACCTGGTCCATGTTGGATACTATGAAAAAGAAAGTTCATCGATGGGCAAGGGCAAAATAGGTGCACCAAGGGCCAAGTCAGGCTCGTCTTCACTGCAACAGTGTCATCAATCAACAGTAAAAGATAGTAATGATTTGCTAAATTGCTAATGATCTTTATAAACATCTAATGTTGGGTTGAGCTCAATCCAACTCGCATGTTTTTGGCCCCGCCCTTCCTTGACCTTGTGCCAGTGGGTGAACAGGTTAAGCAATAAATAAAACAAGAAGATTTGCTAACGAATTTTTAAATCTATATGTTGGGTTTAGCCTTTTTTTAGGCAAACTTGCAAATCTATATAGAAATCGTCACAATAATTACAGGGACGGACAAAAGATCCTTGGGTTGTGAGGTTGTGAGCTTGGAAGTTTGAACTCCTAAACTCATGCACTATGCTACAAGAGAAAAGGACTTTGATTTCTGCAGTAATGATGACTTTGTGGCTTCAATAGGAAAAGTTCTCTAATCTCTATAAAACCGAGTAAATCGAAAAAATAGAAAAAGAGAAAAAACAAGCGAAGGAAGCTTCTAGGATGTTCCCCAAACGGGAAAAACCACACTTGTGTTCCCCGCTATAAGGGCCGGACCGTTTAAGAAGCATGCATTAATCCCTATATATGCGCTTAACGGCCCGGCATCCTATTTTGCTAGCGGGTAGCTGGCTAGCAACCGCGCGCGCACATCCCTCTTCCCGTTGCGTACATTTGGGCCAGCCCAACTGTCTCGTTTCTGGTTTTGGAAAGTTCTAGAACCTTCCTAAACCATTTTTGTTTTTTATGCCCTTTTTTCTCCTTTTCCTTTATTTTTTTCCAATTTTTTCTTGCTTTTTCCCTGTTCCTTTTTTATTTTTTGAACAATTTTAAATTCATGAATTTTTCGCTAAATTGTGATTTTTTATGGAAATCATGAATATTTTTCGAACTCACGAAGATATTTTGACATTGCAAATATTTTCAAATTTGTGAAATTTCTTTTGAATCGGCGTTTATTTTTTGAAATGGTGTATGAATCGGCAAACATTTTTGAATCCATGAACTTTCTTAGAAATTTGGGTAATTGTTTCATAAATTCTAAAGCATTGTATGAATTTTTCAAAATTTTGAACATTTTTTGAATTTATGAATATTTTAAATATTAACAAATATTTTTGAATACATGACCATATTTATAAACCGTGAACATTTTTGAAATATGCAAAAAAATTCTAAAATTCATGAACTTCTTTGAAACTCGTGAATAATTTTTAAATGTGCGAATATTTTTATATCATGAACATTATTTGAATCCATGACCATTTTATGATTTAAAAAATCCAAATTCACAACAATTTAGAATTTTAAAACCTTTTTGTAATCCCGAATTATTTTAAAGAAGAATAATATAAAAATAGAAAAAAGCAAGTGTTTGCAAGTTAGATTTGAAAATTCACAACACTTGAAAAAAGCAGCTGTTTGCAAGTGGCACGCTCTCAGCCCACCCGCAAGTGATCGTTGCGAGGCTCCCGAATGAGCGCTCGTTGAGGGAGTCCTGGATTAAGGGGTCCTCGGACAGCCGGACTATATGCGTAGGCCGGACTATTGGACTATGAAGATACAAGATAGAAGACTTCGTCTCGTGTCCGGATGAGACTCTCCTTTGCGTGAAAGGCAAGCTTGGCAGTTAGGACAACAAGATTCCTTTCTCTGTAATCGACTCTGTGTAACCCTAGCCCCTTCCGGTGTCTATATAAACCGAAGGGTTTACTCCGTAGGACAACAACAATAATCGTAACCATAGGCTAGCTTCTAGGGTTTAGCCTCTACGATCTCGTGGTAGATCAACTCTTATAATACTCATATCATCAAGATCAATCAAGCAGGAAGTAGGGTATGACCTCCATCGAGAGGGCCCGAAACTGGGTAAACATTGTGTCCCCCGCCTCCTGTTACCATTAGCCTTAGACGCACAGTTCGGGACCCCCTACCCGAGATCCGCCGGTTTTGACACCGACATTGGTGCTTTCATTGAGAGTTCCACTGTGACGTCGAAGATAGGGTTGATGGCTCGCCTTGTTATCAAGGACAACATCACCTCCAGGGGAGCTCTGGCCTCACGCCAAACTCTCCTGCTGGGCGGCTTCGTCTTGACCGCCCGTTCGGCCGTCGGGCCGACTATGACTTCTCAAGTCATCGAAAATCGCCTTCGCGTCAGCTCGGAATACGTCGAGAAAATGGATCCAACAGATTTATCGTCTTTAAACGGGCTCCTGGGTTGCATCACCGCTTTGGGAGTCGCTTAGGACTGCGATCGGATTGGGCTTAAACCCGATCAGAGAGAGATTGAATCTTCGCCGATTACCCATCAAATAGCGGTGGTGGAGGAGCGATCCAACAACTCTTCCCCCATATTGAGGACGAAATATGTTCGGATTTCCGAGCTCACCAAGCCGGATACATGCCCGCGGGAAGACGCGCCCCGAACTCCGAACTTAGAATCGGACTGTGGGCCAGAAAAATTGGTTTACATCCCAGAGTCCAAACTATTAAGCCCAGAAACTCCTCGAGCTCTGGGTCACGATCCGGATCTGGGTTCGGACTCAAATCCACCCATCCACCCAGACTCAAGCGATCTTTCACGCATCAGACAACAGTCCCAAGAGACGGTACATCACTTTTGGGCCATATTCCTCATTGCCAAAGGACAAGGTCAAGGATTGTCGTGACAAAGACGCAATCTCAGTATTCTACAAAAATTGCACGGACAATGGACTACTTAACGCCATAAATCGCCGTCACATATCACGCTTCAATGATTTGGCGACCATAGTACAGAAGTACTGCACGATGGAAAGCGCATGGAAAACCCAGGCCTTTTGGGATCCATGGGCTCTCACTAAACCCCTCGTCTGAACAAAAAGGGTGTACCCTCGTAGGTCGCCTGACCCAATCTCGAAGAAATTGAAGCCCACTACAGGGCGCACAACCGTTTTGGAAGGGTGGCTCGATAGGCCATGCAAAATACACACCACGCCAAATACCGTACCAACACACATCCTTAGAGCATGTTGGATACTTCGGCAGGTGGCCAGGAGCGACGAGGATCTCCTCATAAAAAACACCACAGAGCACAACACTACAGTGTTGACAGTCTTCAAGACTTTCGCCTCAGGAAACAGGCGCAAGAGAGCATTTCGCGGCCTCGCCGAAGTCTGCCAAGTCGCAGCAATAAACCCCTGGAATGACACGGCCATAACTTTCAGCGCCAGTGACGAACCGCAATTCAAGACAGTCCAGCCACCAGCCGCTTTGGTCCTCAGTCCAATCGTGGACGGCTTCCGGCTTACCAAAGTGCTCATGGACGGCGGTAGCGGACTAAACATCATTTACGAGGAAACTCTCAACAAAATGGAAATAGACAGGAGCCGCATTGAACAAAGCAACACAATATTTAGAGGAATTATTCCCAGCCGGGAGGCACGATGTGCGGGAAAAATCACACTCGATGTGGTATTCGGCATGCCGGAGAATTATCGGTCCGAAGAGATAACCATTCAGGTGGCCCCTTTCAATAGTGGGTATCACGCCTTGCTAGGGCGGGATGCGTTTGCAAGCTTCCAAGCTATACCCCATTATGGGTACATAAAGCTCAAGATGCCTGGGCCCAATGGAATCATCATCCTTACCAGTGATCCGGACACTGCACTCTGTGCCGAAAATAAAACAGCCGCCTTGGCCCTCGAAGCACTATCTAAAGCCCTCGCGGCTGAAGAATTAACTGCATTACGCTCCACAGTGGATAGAGATGACGTGATACTCGATAAGCGATCCAAGTCCACCTCTTTCAAACCAGTGGACGAAATAGTCAAATTTCAGGTCCACCCAACGGACTCCTCAAAGACAGCATCCATCGGGGCACAGCTGGACCCCACAATCGACGCCGCACTGCGAGCGTTCCTACGCGAGAATTGGGATATTTTCGCCTGGCACCCTTCTGATGCCGGGGATCCCATGCAAACTGGCCGAGCACAGCCTTAACATACTGAAGGGATACAAGCCGGTCAAGCAAACACTACATCGCTTTTCGGAACCCGAACGACAAGCTATGGGAGAGGAGCTAGCCAAGTTACTCGAAGCCGGATTCATCAGAGAAATAAAACACCCGGATTGGCTAGCAAACTTGGTGATGGTACCAAAGAAGGATCAATCCTGGCGCCTATGTGTCAATTTCAAAGACCTCAACAAGGCCTGCCCTAAGGATCCCTTCCCTCTCCCACGCATCGATCAGATTATCGACGCTACCGCGGGACATGACTCACTGTGTTTCCTCGACGCATACTCCGGATACCATCAAATCAAGATGGCGGAGTCTGATCAAGCCGCAA